AAAATTGCTTGCTTATATCTACCTTAATTGAGGGAAGTAGCGTGCAAGTCATGTGTTCTTCTAACATTAGTTCATACTCACCCTACTTACAGAAATGTTGTCTTTAAATTACTATGGTCACAACAGGCCTCATGTTCCATAAGAATAAAATCCAAATATTTAGGTTTTGATCCCGAGTTTTTTCCACATGAAACATTCTTCCCGGATTTCAGTGCATCCTCAGTGGTAAGCAACCTAAACCAAGTTCTCAAACATGCTCATACGTAGAAACCTCCTCCTCCTCTGCAGAACAGCAGGCTCAGTGCAGCTCACTGCTGTAACCTCTGCACACCAAACCACAAATCCTATCAAATCCTGACAGATCAACAGGCACCCAACAACACTGGGAAATGGAATTGTATAGGCAGGCAAAACAAGTGATGGCTTCCATTGCTCAAGGTCTGAGGAGGAAGTGTTGCCTACTGTACATTAATTTTTATTTTTTTTTAAGATGTAACAGAAATATGCTCAAGAAATCAGGCTCGTTTAAAGCACACTGAAAAGAGGACCCAGGAGTGATACTGATTTCTGATTATTTCACCTGTGTTCTTGCATAGTCAAGTTTACATATAATTAAACGGGAAAGTAAATACACACAGGTTCTCCTTGAGTTATTTTCCTAAAGTGACCACCAGGTCAAGAAATTATGTCAAAGTTGTGAAAACGTCACCTCTTCCCAGGCAGGAAGGATTTTCTCCGCAAAGTCTGTGCACTGAAAGAGCGGCTAAAAGATTTCTGCAAGGGCTTGGAGTTGCCAACACATTTGCACATTTAGTCTTTATCTCCCACATCCCTTGTGGATTTCCAACCTGAGTAATCAGTGAGCTGAATGATAAATGGAGTTGGCTGGAACAAGACAAGCCTGTCACAGAGACCGAGCAGAGAAAACAACTAATTTATTCCAGTTCAAATTACACGGATTCCTCAGCTGCGGTTATCAATGTCTGTTTTACCTCCTCCACCTCCTAACAGATCACTGCTTCTCGCCACTGAAACGCCGCTCCTGCCCACCGGGAATAGATCGGCGCCGTTTAATTTGGGGCTGGCCCATGAGAGCGAGGAGCGAGGAGATGGATGGTCTGCGCTAGGCAAGAAGTCACAGCCCCACCCATGCCTGGGAAGGTGTTTGGCAGGCGGGGAGCGGGGCTGGCTGAGAGCGCCGTGCCCGGCCTTGCACTGCCCTCTGCTGTCACAGAGGCACCGAAAACCGCGGCAGGGAGGGCGGCAAGCGCGGGTTCTCGCTATCCAAAACGGGTGAAAACACGACAACTCGCTTTTAATGTGACCTGAAGAGCGAAAGAGAGTAGATCCAAGCGTTTCTCCGTGGGGTTTTTCTTAGACAAAGCATGTCATCGTGCTCGTTCCTTCATTCTTATCTTTTTCTGTCAGCAGAGCTCCAGGTGCTTTACTGGGAAATTGCACGGTTAGACTTGGTTATTTACCCTACAGACACTGACTAAACCATGTTTGTTGAGGCCTGAGCAAGTGGGACTCAGCTTAGAGCACTTAGCACAATGCTCCAGCTTAGAGTAACAGCTGAAAAGCCCCTCTATAACATTTGTCCTGTGGCCATTAGTGTATTTCTAACACCCCCTCTCAAATTTCTTAGTTCCTGCACTATTATATTCCAGGATATGACTCAAGAAAATGCACAAAACACAGGTCATGCAGTGTTCCGTGGCAGCAACGTAAGAAATGTATTACAGCGCTGAAAATTACCTCCTTTACACTTTTTCTCCTTTAAAAGAAAGAAATTTGTATGAAACCAGACAATTATATAACAGAATAATACCTTTCAAAGATAATACCTTGAGAAAATGAACACCCTCAAAGCAGCTCAAAAATTATTATTAGAAACACATTTTAAAAGAAATACATATTTTTCATGCATCATACAAAGTACAAACACACAGTATTTTCTCAGTGCCCTAAATGTCCCAGAAATGCCACACACAGAGTGTTCAACAGCTGTTAATATAATGCACACACACAGACCTTTTGAAGTCAGAAATCGAATGCCAGGATAAAAAGCACAGGAGAATTATTGGCAGAGAGCTTGTGTATCATTAGGCTTCCCTGCACGGTAATGCCAAACCTGCAACAGCTTATAAGCATATGGTTTGAACATCAGACTTTCTAGAAACATAAGTTCAGATCCTGGCAGATCAGCTCAGCCTGACAACCTTCTGCTGTGTGTCTTGAAGCAATAAGTGCTTCCCTACCCCTGTGTGATATACAGCATCTCACTCTCCATTGTGGTACAGGAAAACAACGCAGCAACAGCCCACAGAAACTGCAGAGTGGAACCTGAGAGTGTCATAAACCAGGACTGAGCTCAGAGTTGCCTGAGCAGTCTGACTGACACAGAATCACTTGGTCAAAGGTGAGGGGAATTAAAAGGGGAAGTATCCCACAAATCCAATTTGCTTGGATAAAGGTAATGTACACCTCTGCATAAATGTGATGTAGATGTTGGGGATTCTCCCAGAAGATGGGGACACATGTTCCTACCACCCCACAAGATTAAGTGTACTGTTGGGGATACAGATTTCCACGAGAAATTCCTTACAGGACTTAAGAGAACTTGTCCACCGTGCTGCACGTAACTCACACGAAAAAACCATTCCCTCTCATTTACACTTAATGAATTCTTACAAATAACTGCTGTGGAACCCTTATAATATGGAAATTCACTGGATCTTGTTGTAATAAAATAGCCTCAACAAGGTCCACAAAAGTTGCGTGCAAGGAATTACTTACGACATTTTTTTTAAGATTCCCAAACAGGCAAATGCAGGGATATTATTATAATGTTCAAGAAAATAAGGGAGGATTCATTTCCCCAGGGAATTGTTTTCACGCTGTCAGCATAGAATGTTGCAAGTCTTGACTTTGTTAACACTGGTATTATACTCATTTTATACCTGAGGAAACGAAGGCAGAGAGATTAAAGGTAGCATGGGATAATTACTACAGTTTGCCATACTGAGTAGCAATTAAAATGGAGCAAAAAAACTGTGGGACTAATAGCTGGACTTTTAAATTATTAAGCATTGAATCTATCAAACCAAATGGTCCAAGTCCTTAGAGGCTCATAGGTTTTATATAAATACACTTGTGATATAGCTGAATTAGTGGTATTTACCATCCCTAGAGTGACCACTGTGTGCACAAAAGGTGTTCTACACTTATGAACACGGAGATGAGAGAAATTTGGACAGGCCTATTTTCAAGGGTGCCTCTCGTAACCACTCAAGACAACAATGTTATCAGGTCTCCTCAGAATAAAATCTAAGCAATTGTTTTGACTGGAGAGGTGTTGAGAACCACATTCTGTCAGAATGTGCAGCGCCACTGAAACCCACTGAATGTTTCCCACAAATTGCCACTTTTCTATGGAATTTTCAGGAAAAAAAATTATAAAACCAAGTAAAGTAACTGTTGGAGTGTCCTATGTCTACAATTGTTTTTAAATGCCTGCCATCGTGAGCTATTTCAGGGGCTTTGCACTGTAATGGGCTTTAAAAGCCTACCTCTGTCATTAAATGCTCTCAGTAATTGAAGCAATTCTCAGAGGCTGTGATGGTGGAAGTATTTTAAACAGCTTAGAAGTTTTCAGACTGTGCTCTGCTTTGGCATAACCAAATTCAAAATCATTCTTAAAATCGAGTTTCTGTTCAATTACTTCTGCCTTCAGCATCTATTACTAAGCACTCCCACTATATTCAGTGAGGACTTGGAGCAAGCATGTATTGTACTAGTTTGGCTAGAATTGTACTCATAAAACTTCAAAACATTTCTGTACAAGGTGCCCAGGTTGTGGATTCCAGCTTGCAAAAGAAGGGAAATGTCTGAAAGTTCTCACCCTCTATCACTTTCTCCTCACATCTAATAGTCTGCCCAGTGGCAATAAAGCAGGTCTGCTCCACAGTCAGGAGACCACTCCTCTCAGTCCTGTCAGCACAATATTGCTCACCACTGCCAGGAAGCCTTTCCCTCTGGATGAGAGCGCAGGGAAGACAGGGAAGCTTTCAATTACAGCTTTTAGGGACATTATTTACATAATCATTGCACCGTCTGTTTAATATCTGATGATCACACTGGTAGGATTAGACATCACTGTAACACAGTCTTGTCCACCAAGTAACCAAGAGCACACAACCAGCAGAACAAGGCAGGAGGATCTAAAGTATCTACCTACCTTTTTGGGCCTCAGTTGAGGAAGGTACCTAAAACATGTGTTTGGACTTGGAAACCCTATTCTCCCCTGAAGCAGTTCTCCCCACTCCCAAAACCCAGGAAAATTTTCGAAGGTCATCTTGAAGCTCAGGTTAAGGATTACAAGTGTCTGCCTGCATCGTATTTAAAATATTCTTACTTCAAACCACAGGATTATCCTCCCTTTATGAACCCCCAAATTTTGACTGTAATTTCGAACTTGAACTTCCATCCACTGAAACTGGCCAGATTAATTAACAGAGCAGATTTCCTTTCATCTCAAGAATAGTAAACCATTCAAACCATGGGCAAAATACTGACAGACAATTAAGAACTCATATGTATGCATAAATTGTACTGATTTGGACTTCTGTGGGAAGTAACATTCTCAAAGTAACCTCTTATGATAATGATTTTAACTAATTAATTATGTAAAAGAACTATAAATACTCTTCTCAACTGTGCACTACAGGTGACATAACATACTTTACAAACTAGCCACATCAGTCCATGCTCATCTGGAGTCAACACATTAAAATGTTTAGTCTTTTTTTTTTTCTCTTTTTCTTTTGTCTTTAATGAAAAGTCTCATGCTAAAACACAGAGAGTCTGTGGGAGAATGACAATTCCAGGAAAAAAACACTGTAAGCATAAGCATAATCTCCTTCTCTCCCCAAACTCTCTGTCTACATTCTGAACAATGACTTAAAATAACATACAAGTAAAGAGTCAGGAGAAAGAGATACTTATTAGAATTATGACTTTTATTTTTATTCACTAGAGCAACATTGAGGAAAGAATTTTTACATACAGGTTTTTGAATCAACTTTACAAGCAAATTCCAATATACAGTATTTACTCTGGCCTGGGTTAAAAAACCAAAAACAAAGCAGATAGTAAGAGTACCTCTTGTTTTAGCTATTACTGAATTTAAGATTTGGTTACACCGGAATTATATTCGTTTTATGGTGGTGCTTTTACAGTTAAGTAGGCAGTGAGCAGCTTTACCACAACAGTGACTGATTTTCCTTGATAGCATAGTTGTAAGATGACTATACTGAGACCTACCACCAGGATCATGTATTAAATCCACTCTGCTCAGAAAAAGCCTCTGTAATGAGATAAGGAATAGCTATGGAAGCCAAATTCAAGGACTGATTTCCATTTGTACAGCAAGAAAACATCCACGTTAAGAGGATTATGTGCTGTGCAAAACCAGAAACACTTCCCCCCCCCAACATGCAACCTACCCAAGTATGACACTTTAGAATGTGCATATGGTTGTGACATGCAGACAAAGGAAATCACGCAAATGGTATTCAGCTTTCCAGCATCATTACAACAAATTGGCATTTAGATCAAGGACGAAATGAAGTTTATTGATCAGTGATGCAGTCTACTTGCTACGTCCAGTCTCACTGCTGCAAGATGTACAGTTGAGGAACCCAGTATTTTTTTTTTTTTGAACTGCATCAAAATTCGGTGTCATTTTGGATTTTCGGGGCCTTCGTGATAATTTGGAGAAAGTCTGAGAGATAATATTGCACTTCTTTTCTCAAACAAAAACATGTGCTGGGGCCATTATTCTTTCAGAGCTATGCTAGTCCTAGGGAAGTTTAGCCATGGACTTTGATTGGCAGTAGGAAGTGCTGGCTTCAGGGAAGGGGAAGGTAGTAATAATCTGGCTGCATCTTCAGTGTTAAAATTCCACGGTTAAATTAAAGTCATTGCACAACAAAAACTCGGTACACTACATGAATATTTTTTTAACATGCTAGAGTGCATATCGATTCTGTGAAAGTGATGTGAAAATACCTTGGAAACAGCAACACTACCGGGGAAATTGGTTTCAAACAAAAGCCACACACAGCAGGAGGCATCTAGATTATTTTAGGCACAACTCCAAGCAGTAAAGCTCATTTAAAGTGCAATTCTGTTCTTTTCTTTTGTGTTTATTCACTTGTTAAAACGCGTAATTGCCTCTGTACACATATACTGAACAGTAGTTTAATACTTTTGTGAATATTGCACAAAAGAATGAGAAATAAAAAATAAAACAAAAAAATGGCAATATATCAGTTTCATAAAACTAAAAAAAAAAAACAAAAAAAACCAAACCTGAAGATATCAAACGCTTAAATTTATGCCTTTTGGATAACTGCACCAGTACTGATGATATATCTGCACCTTCCATAAGGTAGATACGTTCCCTGAAAATACTTAATCCCGTTTGACAAGCTCTACTCAGCACCCTCTTACCCATCGCCCCCCAAACCCCTTCCTTCACCCAAGTGAAGCTCCAAACTTCACCACTACTCTTCCAGCTGCCCATCTCCTGACAGGCTTTGCTCGTACTCTGGACTTACTATACATGCAACAGAACCTTCCCTGGTCAAGTCTGAAGAGCCAAAACAGGCAGTTGTCTTTAGAGGGATGCGAGGTTAGCAGCTGAACACAAATACAATTCAGGCTAGCATCTGTCTCATCCATGAGCAAATCCTGCTGTCTCCAGCTCAACATCTCACTAATCTGTCAGAACAAAATGGGGAAATGCTATTAAAAAACCCCAAAAAACCAAAAAAACTATAATCTACTTATGTTCCTTTAACACAGACACCCCCACCCTTATATAAATAAAACCTTTTTCTTCTGGAAAGAAAAATTAGGGACTCTTGTTTTTATGAAAATCTTGATCATCTCAATTTTCTTTGCTTAATTTACTTTGATCATCTCTCTCCTTAATTTTCAGTAAAGGTGCAGATAGATAAGATATCTATATTTTTAATGTAAACATAAAAATTTTAACATCACTAGATCAGGCTGGCAATACCTCGAGAACAAGATGCAAAAGGATTCAGGATGAAATCTGTCAATACCATTAAATGAAAATTATATTTTTTTACACAAAATCATATACATGTAATAGTAAAATCAGGTTCTCTTCAAGAAAAGTAAACTTAAAAAAACACCTTCCATAGAAATCTACACGGACCAGAAAACAAACCAGGAATCTGATCATTCCCTCAGCAGTCTTTAAACTCCTGAGAAACACAGTTAGCTGCCAGGAGCTAGTTTTGGGGAATATAAGTCAGTTTTATTTTCTTATTGGAAGTAAACACTTACACTAAAGGACATCCAGTTCAATGCTTTTCAAGGAAATAAATTATTTCAGGAGAATAATTCCTACTGCAATCTCAAGCTGTAGTTATTTTGATCCTATAACAACTGTAACAATTAACGTTACCCTCGTTATGTCTTGGTTACATTGTCTCGGCCTTAGTTCCCAGAAGGTCCTGCAGGTCCCTTATTTCAGATTGATCCTGAAATGGAACCTCCTCCCTACCCATTTCCTCCCCAACCTTTTAATTTTTCCACTTCGCTGTCAGTTAAAAAAAATATTAGTGTGACAAATACAAAAACTTTCTTGAATATTAACTATGCACTGAAAACTCAGATGAGTGTTTTTTTCCTTCACCCAACTGAGGTTTCCATCAGGATACCCCTAGTTAAAGGGCTTATATTATAGAAGCCGATCACTGAATTTATTTAAGAAATGCCTACACCTATTCACTTTAATTTTCTCAAAGAAAATACTGTAATATGTCAAAGCCTAGAACAAACTAACACTAAGTTGCATTTTGCTGACATTATGTGCTCTTCAGGAACAGATTTTGAGCCAAGTGGTTGCAACAGCCTTCTGCTGATGATTTTAAAACCAATTCAAGGACAGAAAAAAACCCCAAACACCCAACCAGTAACATCACAGAGAGTAATGGGAAAAAGGGAACACTGGAGATGGGACATAACATCAAATTTCTGGAAAGCTTCACTGGATATGCAAACATTTAACTCGCATGACGTGTCATGGTCCCATAATGCACCATGATTGGCATATACTTCCAGACTACTTTCAGAAAGAATAATTCTCCTAAAGAGCACAAAAACGTTGATTTATTTTTTTCTGCTTTATTTCCCCAAAAAGCTCCTTCCCAGTTATTATGCACTTCTTCAGAAAAAAAAAAAAAAAAAAAAAAAATTACAAAAACCCAAAACCAAAATACACATCTCTGAAAAACTCTTAAGAGTACCAGCTCTGGATTAGGACATAATAGGATTGCTCAAAGCAAGTAAGTGGGGTTAATTAATTTTTTTTTCTTTTCCTAAAAATAGTTGAATTTTTAATACAAGCTTTATTCTGTAAAATAGTTTCAAATTCTTACACATATGGCAGAGTTTGTGCAAAATTTCAAGTCAGGTACTTCAGAGCCTTTCGATATTAAACAGAACTCAATAAATACAAGTAATACAATAAAAGTTTAAAATATTAATTAAAATGCATGTTGTGCAACCTCAACATAGGTGTTATGGACCCCATATTCCCAGAGGCTCCCCACTTATCAATTCGTAAGAGCCTGCACTGGAAGGTTTTGCACAAGTATCCTTTGCACTGCGTTCCAAGAATCTACCCGGTAATGTGTCTATTCAACACAATAAAAACATACCACAATCCTTTAACAAATGATGATGTTCAAGCGAGAAGACTCGTTTCACCCTGTGAAATCTGCTTAATGTCAGTGAACAGTGAAAATGGGATAAATAAAGAACAGAGCAACTTCGGATTACAGCAAAACAAAAACAACACAACCCACCCAACCCATCAGATTAAATAACATTAAATATGTCAGTCTTGAGATAATGATAAATACAAGGATTTTTGCATAGGCCTCTGGAATACAGAGTCAGAATTATGGCCAATAAAACATCTGCTAGTAAGTCTAACTTTCCACCACTCTGACCTAACGATTACTCAGAACCAAGAAGTTAAACAGAACAGCAATTTCATTGTCTAGTAACTCAAAGAAACAGAGGTAAGAAATAACTTCTGCCATCCTGAAATAGGTAGTGCAGCATTCTGGCATTTGTGGTCACCACAGACTTCAGTATTTGCTTAATTACTAAGGTCGCAATACAATCTTTATTACAGACCAGATAGAACACTCTCAAGAGCAACTGCACAGCTCACAACATCAGCCGCAGAACGTAGCAGGGCGGAGTGTGCAAACCCTGAAAAAGAAGATGCTGTTTTGAACGTGGACTCTGGATTTGCAGGCTGTAGGTCCAGCAGGCTCCAAAGGCAGTCACGACACGGGGAGTGGTTGGCTGTATGGCATCGTTCGGTGAGATGTAGGTACGTCCTCAGTGCGTCTTTGGTTTAGGGAGGCGGGAATGCCGACTGGAGGGCACGCTGTCCCCAGAATGCAAACTGGTGTGGTGTGTTTGCACGTTTTCCTTTCTCTGTACCAGTGGTTTTGGGATGTTAGACTTCAAAGAGGTGTTCTGAGGCTCTGCAGACACTGGTGTGGATTTCTGACTGCTCACTTGCTTAGCTCTAACAAAGGACATAGTTGGCGGGCGAAGTTTAGACACTTTCTGACTCTGTTTACCCTTCAGGTTATCCTGACCAGATGTTGGCTGTAGCTGAGTTGAATTACTTAGTGGTAGAAGCTCACGTTCCTTGGAAGCAGCGGAATGATTTGCAGATCGTATGAGAACGGCCATTGTAGGAGGCACTAAAGCATTTGGAGGCTTTGCGATTCTTAAAGTCTTTGGCCGAGAAGCCTGGTTTGTGAACGAGGGCTGGCCTTTCACAGGTAATTCAGTCTGCACCTCTCTGGCATCAGCTCGTGTAGAGGCCTGAAAACAGGAACGTGATGGCAATGTACCTTTATCACTCACCACCTCTCTAGGGTTTTCAGTGTTTTTATTTTTCAAATTGTCCAAATATGATGCATTTTCATAGTTTTCATTTTCTTTCATGTTTAACTGTAGGTTTGTTAAAGAGTTTACATCATTCAGGCTATTTGGGAGAGAGACATTTGCAGCATTTGGATTCTGATGATTGCTACTTTCATGCAGATCATGTTTAGGATATTCACTGTGGGCCTCGATATGTGGCATTTTTACTAGTTTTCCCTGGGCGAGGTCTGTGGAACTGGGAAGGCTGCTGGAAGGCTGTAGTACTTGAGGCTGTTAAAGAGAAAATAATACAAGAATATATTAGGCCAAGAAGACACCAGCTAACATTCTGAACCCAACGTGCGCTGACCGGATGCTTGATAAGGGCTGTACATCTGGTTTTTTAAATCAAAACTTTGACTTCGGCAAAACAGGATGGTTCATGGAACGCACACAAATGGGGGAAAAAATATACCAGCACTGAAATAAACTACAACATAAAGACAAAAAAGGAAACCAATAAGCTTTAAAAAGAAACATGAGAAGGCATGGTTGATGGTTTCACCTAAATCTGTGGGACAGATCGCTGGTGCCGATCAATTCTCACTGGAGTGCTCGAAACAACGCCATGGCTATCAGGTTGTATCCATCTTTTAATTTCTATTCAGGGCATACTGAAGTTAACTATCCCAACCCTTTTACTGCACAGGCAGGAAAGGTGTTTAATGGACCACATGAATTTACAGGGCACTTTTCTTGCCTTACTGAGGCCAGAAAATCTGATGCAACTATGTGGTAATCAGGCTACTGACTAGGCTTGGGGAACTGTTTTATCTGGAACTGATTTCAAATGGGCTGATAAAGGAAAAGACTACATGTGAAACTAGAGATCACATACTACTACACTGATAACCAAGGGACAAAGATAACTGAATGAAGATTTTACATTTGATCAGAAGATACAATCTGATCAGACACGCATCAGACCAGAGCACTGCCGGTACCTCTTCTGGGTCATTTCTATTCTCTTTGCTCTTCCCTGTAAAAAGACTTAAAAGATTAATGTGTGCACTAACTTCATAATCACATCCTAGACCTGAAACCTGGACAGAGATCTTGGAAGCATTATTAAAACTTCTGCAATTCATGGCAAAAACCCAAAACCTATTAAAACTTAAACTACAGTTTAAGCAAGTTTGGATGATTTTCTCATTTTCTTTAAAAGGAGGGGAACAGAACTACTATAAAGTTGTCATCACTCAACTACTTGAATTCTTAGCAATTGACAGGTTGCATGTACAGAGTAAAAAGACTTATTCTGGTTGTTTACTAGAGAAATAGAGTCAACAAAAAAGAAGCAATGTTTGTGTTTGAGAGATTTGACTAAAAGCGTCACTTCAGTCACTTCCCGAATTGTTCACAACTTCCAAATGAGGAAAACCAATTATTTGTCCCATCTTTTTAGCTCTTCTTAGAATCAGCAGCAAGAATGCAAAGACAGCTGTGCATTCCACACTGCTGTTGCATTTCTAGGGTCGTAACACGTCTCAGGATTCTTTAAACTTTTCATCTTTTCCCTGGCAGGATTTCTACTGACAACTGAATCCTCAAAATTCCTCACAAAAAAATTTTAATGGTAATGTGAAAAAAATCATTCTCAATCTATTTTTCATTTACTAGAAGTTTTTCCCTTTAGAGTATACTGGTTTTACCTGTAAGCAAAGGCAAAATCTAAGCTGAACCAGTGACACCAGTGACAGGCATGTAAGTGTAAATATCCTGAGATGCCTAATCACAATTTTTTTTGAAACATGGAGAAGATTAAAAAAAAAAAAAAAAAAAAAAGCAGCCTCCAAAATGGTGTCAAATGAGTACCAAAACATTATTCCTTATATGACCCAAAACTACCTTAACTTTATGAATCCTTCTTAACCACGTGATCCTAAATGAAGGAAGTACTCAACACAAGGAATAATTCAATATATTGAGTTAAAGCTTAAATGAAATTAATCCTCCAGATATTTTTGTTATTTTCCAGTGTTTATGTAATGGGTTTCAGGAGTTATTATCCTTCCAGCCTAGGAGCCGACAGGTAGATGTTAGCCAAAATTATTTACCGATTTGAGATCTCATCTGTAAAAACAGAACTGCTAATAATGAAGGCAGAAACCAAAGCAATATATACCTGACTCCCATACAAATACTTGAATCAAATTTTCTAATTCTACTGAGTAAAAAATTAAAACACTTTTAGTAAACACTTATATGGAAATTAAACACTTAATATGTCAAATATGGAAATATAATTGTCAGGAACCCTTTTCCTCTCACCTAGAAAGCGTTTCTAAATGCCAATCTTCAAAAACACAGACAAATACCTAATCTGAGCATTACAAATCCTAATTTTATATCAAATAATCCTAGTTATACTAATCAACAAAATGAAAGAAGGTATAAGTTACAGAAGAAACTAAACTTGTGTGAAAAGCTGACTTAAACACAAACACATCTGAAATAGAGCAAAGCAGCAAGCTTTCAATAATGCTACTTAATGCTATTTTGAGTTCTTTTGATAAGGTAGTATTGGAGCTTCTCCCTTTGAGCAATTTTGCACTTTACACTTAAAAATAGCCAAACACAGGTTTTACTCATTACCCTTCATAACCTAAACAAGTCTAAGCAGCTTAATACGCAGAAAGTTAGCAATCCAAAGGTGGAAAACAGCTACATGCTCTGAATTGTGACACTAAAGCTCTGGTATCATCTTTGTGAAGTTGTTTTAGAAACATTGATTGGTTTTTAATTTTGTATTTCTACACTAGCTCTGTCCAATTATCATTAGAGATATTAATCTCTTCAAATTGCTACATACACATTCAAGATGACACTGAAAGCAGTAAAATGCCACTTGCATAACATGCAAGTAACAGTTAATGAGGTATCTCACACTGACAACTGCACTACTGTCACCCACAGCTCACAGTTTTGTCTTCTACACGTTTTCCTTTTCCAAAGGAAGTCTTAGAAATTATGTTACTAGTAAAAAAAACCCAAAAACCAATAAACAATAAACAAACCCAAGCCAGCTGTAGGACTAGTATTTGGTGAATTCCATCACAAGAAGGAGGAGAAAAGATAAAGAAGCATTCTACCTTCCAGGCATAGTATTTTATTTCATAGAAGTCTTTTAAAAAGGGTTGCCATCTGCATTGCTTTGACTGCACTTCTGGCACTATTTTTGGGGTGGGACAGACCCCATGACTGCCATGCTAACCAGACTTCTTTTTGTGTCCCACAAAGAAAATGTGCAGGAACACAAAACACCTGCATTCCTCTGGGATGCTCCTACCATACAAATTTGGACTTGAACATTTCCAGTACAATTTAACTGAAGAAAACTAGTTTTCCTCAGACTGAAAGTCCATTACAGGAACGGGCTCCCCAGGACAGTGGTCAGACAGAGTTCAAGAAGTGTTTGGATGACACTCTTAGGCACATGGTGTGACTCTGGGGGATGGTCCTGTGCAGGGTTAAGGATTGATCCCTGTGGGTCCTTTCAAACTCAGCATATTCTGGGATTAGACAAAATGCTTTTTGCACATGCTCCTTTCTGCACAAAGAAACCAAATTTTCTGAACTGGCGAGAGCTTCAAAGCCTTGCAAACATTGATACACTAATCAAAATTACTCAGTTACAGTCCCTACCTCATTAGCTTAGGAGATTTTCCTATTACTTCTATCAAGTAAAACTGGCTGTTACATCATCCAGAGAAAAATTACATCCATGATGAGGACTGCAATTACTGCTCAGTTATCAAACTACTGAGATTGTATTAGCTTTGTGCTGGAAAACAGAAACAGGGATGTTGTACTCATAAAGAAGTTAAATCAACATGGTCATGACAGGGGTATTCATCCAATATCATTACTTGAAAATTCCCTTAGGTTTTGCTTTGTTTATCTTGATCTGCAACTCAATTCCCTGTGCAACACCTCTGTAGAATGAAATAAAGGCATTTTCTCCCTGCAGTATCTTGAGGAACAAGGGAAGTGATGCAATGAAAAATCTGAGAACTGCATGCACATCTCCCACAGACATGCATCATGCACAGGGCAAAGGAAAAACCCAACAGTGAAAATGCGTGAGGAGGAGATGGGAATAAATCTAAAGTTGTACTGTACCACGCTTTATCACAGAAGTAATGGACTAACTTCTCAACTCCTTGCCAATGGCATAATGGGAAAGCAGAGACAAGAAAAAGACAAGGACAATGATGTCAGAGGACCAAGACAAAACAATGAGCAATTGCCACGACACAACTGCAACTTTTCACCATTTCAATTGCAATTACCAGGTCCCCCCTCGGTTTTTAATCCTCCTTCAAGAAACAAAGGTAGCAATAGTGTTTAAGTAATGCAGTACAAAAAATACTTATAGCAAGACCTGCATGGAATACCTCTGCTCTTATAACTTCAAGTTCTTTAACACAGTTCATCTCTTACACTCCAAATACTGTAACTAGAATTTGTGGGTATCATTACAACTGTAAACATCAGAAATACTTGCATCCATGCACACACATGTTAGATTTCTAACAGTGAAAAACAATGTCATAAGAACACTGCATTACATCCTTGGATCATGTTGCCCACACTGTCAATAACTCATCTTTCTACCAGCTCACAAGTTGGAAGAGACTCCCAGCTCCCAAAGTTTCTTTCTGGAGAGGGGCAGGGGGGAAGAGACACAAACAGTGCTACATAACTTTTTCATTTCCTCATCAGTTCTGACATCCCTCATCTCACTGCCTTGGCACAGAATATGCTGTCATTTCACATGAAGGCCTGTGCAGGCACAACCCTACTGAAGGGTCGCATTGAAAAGCTCTCATTTTCTACCTCTGGAAAACATCAAGATTTCATACCTTAAATCTGAAGCATTTGCCAACACCTTAATTTTCAACTTTTTTTTCCCCTCTCCCTTTTACGTAGCTATATTATACGTGTAGTTCAACATTGTAAAATAGGATTCTGCAGCATGGAGTATGACTTCGAAGAATGATACAAAACAACCCTAATGTGTTTTTTTTTAAAGCACCACTCATCACAGCATGACAGTAGTAAAATAATCAGTATTACGGTAAAGCATTATTTTTTTCTGCATAGTCTGTATAGAAATCCCAACTTAGAAAGACTGTCTTTCTCGAAGAAGAAGTACTCAAAGTAATATATCATTACATCAAGGCAGGTATTTCATCCATAATTACAGACACATTTGCAACAAGCACACA